TTGGAGCATAAGCTTTCGTGGGTGAATACTCACTTCGTCAGATGCAAGAGTATTCACCCACGAAAGCTTATGCTCCAATATGTCTGTTAGTCTATAAGGTGCCACAGGACTCTTAGTCTGGATTTGTAAAAAGCGACAAACACGGCTACCCCTCTGATACTTTACACTACTTACCTATGTTCTTTCTAAAGCCCCATATGTCCAGCATTGAGAAAAGACTGCTCCCTCAATGTGAGATGAACTTTGGCATTTTACCGATGGAGAATGAGACAGACCAGAAAGTCACCTAGGCTGTTTCTTGCCAAAGCAGAATGAGGACAAGCTATTTCCTACCAGAGGATCTCCAAGTGGATCTCTGGCTGTAACTTATTGTATCAGTTAGTACACCTTCCTACACCACATAGGGAGTTAGCTCACTCCACAAGAACTTAGGCAGCCTCAGTAGCATCATTTCAAGAAGTACCTCTGCTTGATGTTTTCAAGGCAGCAATATGGTTCCATCCATGCAGGAGACATCACATTTTGGTCCAAGCCTCCTCTGCTGACTCATCCTTTGGGACAGCAGTTCTACAAGCGGCCATACCACCTATATACATGCACCCTCCTCTGAGTACTGCTTATCAGTCACCCACAGTGGAATACACAGAGGGACCAGCATTTGAAAAGGAGGAAAGGAAAGTTACTTACCCTTTGTAACAGGAGTTCTTGGTCCCTATCTGTATTCCACTACCTGCCATCCTTCCCTTTTGCTTCAGATCTTCTCTGATTCACAGTAAGAGGAAGAACTGGAGAGTTATTGGTCTTCATCCCCCATTATGCCCTCAGCACTTACTGAGGCAAGCAGGGGCACAGATGCAGACTAACAGACACTACTTGCTAGGATTCTCTAGTCTCAAATGCATGGAGTACACATGTATCCACAGTGGAATACAGGTAGGGAACACACATCTCAAAGAACTCCTGTTACAAAAGGGTAAGTAACTTCCCTTTACCAAGCAATCCAGATCACTCTGTATGACAGCCCGATCTTCTTCATTGTTTGCCAGTCTGTGTCATCAATTATTTCGTCTTTAATTCCAGATCATTCATAAAAATGTTGTACCAGTCCCTGTGGAGCCCCACTAGACACAGCGCATGATTCCCCATTTTAAAAAAGCGATGGTGTCCTTAATGAGGGCCACCTCCATCTCTTTTACCAACTTAATCCTTCCTAAGCAGGTTATAAACAGTGATTTTTAACATTCCAGTCATTCGGATTGTCCCAGCTAAGAAACTAACAAAATGTCCATTTTAATTATAATGTAATCTTATCTCACTTGTTTCAAAGTGAAGTATTTACACTGTGGTGGTTTACCTGGCTCTTGGTGACTTAAGGCCATTTTGTAATTTTGTTGGGTTTGGTTTGTCTGGAAAATTTACCTTCTGTTACACATTTTTCTAAGTTTAAGTTAAAGTACTTTACTCATAATTTAAAAAAAAATCTACCAGCACCTTGATGCATTGTTCTTCCTCCTCCTCCTTAGCTCCAATTCTCTTGGCCTTAGTAGCAGGAGAAGCAGCTGGGATCATGGAAAACATCAGTGATGATGTCATTGTTGGGCGCTGCCTTGCAATTCTCAAAGGCATCTTTGGCAGCAGTGCTGTCCCCCAGGTACTACTCACACTGTTTTGTATATCAGTCTGTTAGTCTATAAGGTGCCACAGGACTCTTTGCTGCTAGAAAACATAAGAATCCTAGATAATTGATTGTATTATCTACCTGTCTGTGCTAGGTATTTATGCCACTCTTTGCAACAGTGTTTGAATGCCTCCATGGTATATGAGAGTGCCAGCTGTTCTTTTCTAGGACTTGTTTATGGAGTGACTTTATCAAAACCATAACCATTTTTCAAAATGTCAGAGACCTTGTAGGACTTTAGATGGGTTTTGAATTGTTCGTTCTCTAGGCCACACTTAATCTGACAAGTCTTAAAAAATTGTGTAAACTAAAATGGTCAGATGTACATAAATTAATTCAGGAATTCTATTTTTAGATTAGGATCAGGGCAAGAATAGCAATTTCTGTGAAAGAATGACAAATAGTTAGGATCCTCTGTGCTAAATGTATTAACTGACCTAGCACAATGTTTACATCTTTGATACATTTATCACAATATCAGATTCTTCTTCGAGTGCTTGCTCATGTCCATTCCACATTAGGTGTGTGTGTGCTCGCCACATGCACCGGTGCCGGAAGTTTTTCCCTCAGCAGTATCTGTAGCAGAGCGGCTCTGGCACCCTCTGGAGTGGAACCCGCATGGCGTATAAGGGACACTACTGGCTCCCCCTATCCTCAGTTCCTTCTTGCTGCCAATGATGTTTCACGGAACGTTCGCTGCTCTTACTAGTGTTGCTTAGACTTCATTCATACAAACTAGAGTTCTTGTAAAGTTAGTGTACATAGTTAGTAATTGAGTTAGTTAGCCCTTAGCAATAGTTAGTTTTATTAGTCCTGTCAGGGACTTAGCTGTGGGATGGGGCATGCCCCGGACCCCAGGCTTTAAGCCCTGCAATAGCTGCAAACGGCCCATGCCCATGAGCGATCTGCATAGTAGCTGTCTTGGGTGCCTCGGTGAAGAGCACATAAGTGATGTGTCGAATCTGCAAGTCCTTTAAACCTAGGACTAAGAGAGAGCGTGAAAACAGACTTAGTGCTCCTGATGGAGTCGGCGCTCACTCCGGCCCCAGAGCAAAGGCCCAACTTGGCACCGCAGCATCGGTGTGTAGTGCCCCACTGGCACTGATCAACGGCCCCGGCCAGGAAGTCGAAGAAGGGCAGTAGGGGACGGTCTCGTACTCCCTGCAAGGGGAAGGACAGGGCTGAGGGCGAACTGAGACCCACGCTGGGCGGCTCATCTCCCCCGTCGGGAAGTCGGGCCTCAGCTCATGTCAAGCCTGGAAGCCCGGACACAGAGGCGGGCCTTCATCAGCTTCAGGTGCCGTCAACGCCTGAAGCGCTCCAGGCTGTGCAGGAGATCCTGATACTCCTAGTGCTGCCCACACCAGCCCTGGCAGTGGCCAGATCTTGGGGTAAGGCCGCCTTGGGACCTTTCCATCCGCCCTTGCCCCAACGGTACCGCTCCCGATCGCAGGGGACGTCCCACCACCGGTCACCCACTCAAAGCCATCATGCCTCCAAGTTAGGGAGGCAGACACATCGGAGCCCTCTACAATCACCAGACCTTGGGCACCAGCAGTGGGATTCGAGGCGGACCTCGCCAGTTACCTGGTGCTTCCCGGCAGGAACATCAGGACCGTCCCTGAACATCATCAGAACACCATTACAGATCCCGGGAATGATCGGATGACCTGCAGGTCCTGTTCCTCGTTCGGTACCAGTCTGAAAGTGCGAGACATGGATTGGCAGTCTCCTGTCACAGATTCGCCGAGCGCCACCGGTCACGGAGGTCCCCATGGAAGTGCACATCCCGCTCGGACCAGTCCTCCTCTAGACATGATCGCGATTATCACTAGACATGAGGTCGCCGCTCCAGTGGATCCGGGTCACCAGCTAGCAATCGCTCCGGATATGGCTCCAGTACGGACCAAAGCTCCATATCAGCAGGGCAGCCTCCAAGACCCTCGGTGCCACCTGCATCATCGGTACTGAAACCTGCCTGGTGGCCGGGCCCATGGTACCCCTGGAACCTGTGTGGGTTCACCCAGCCCTCCCAGCCTGCCCACTCTGTGTCGGGAGCTTTGGACAGGCCTGTGGCCTCAAGAACCCAACTGCCTACGGTGCTTGAGGCCCCAGGGGATAAAACCCTGCAAGTCCATGTAGACCAAGAGGAACAGCTTGCTGGACCACCAAATGGTGTCGTGGAACCCACGGTACTGGCCGCCTCCTCCTCATCTCCAAATGAGGCCATCACAGAGCACCCTCACTCGGTTCCGCAGGATGATGCTAAAGTTCACCAGGAGCTGTTGAAGAGGGTTGCGTCCAACCTTGGCCTGCAAGCAGAGGAGTTGGAAGAGCAAATGGACTCCCTGTTCTACATCCTCTCCTCCACAGTCTCTGTTAGGGTCGCCCTTCCCCTTCATGAAGGGGTATTGAAGATATCCAGCATCTTGTGGCAAACCCCCTCCTCTCTGCCCCCCCCCATTTCCAAACGGGCAGAGCGTAAATACTTTGTCCCGACTGAGGGGCATGATACCTTTACTCCCATCCTGCTCCAAATTCCCCGGTGGTTGAGGCAGTTAACCACAGGGAACGCCAGGGGCAACCTAGAGCTACCCCCAAAAATAAAGACTCCAGGAGACTGGACTTTATTCCTCATCGAGTTTACAGTTGAGGGTGGCCAACCACCAGATCCTCCTTGGCTGCTACAACTTTAACATGTGGCAGACCTTAGCCAAGTTTGAGAATGCCCTCCCAGAAGGTTCCGGTAAAGAATACCGGGCGATCCTCGACAAAGGCACGGCCACTGCCAGGGCAGCCCTTCAAGCGGCATCTGACATGGCAGACTCTGCCGCCCACACCATGGTGTCTGTCATCTCCATGCGGTAAGCGTCCTGGCTGCTCTTCTCTGGGTTGTCCTCCAAGACTCAACAGTCGATTCAGGACCTCCTCTTTGATGGCCAGGCCCTGGATGGACAACAAATTACATGGGCTGAAGGACTCCCGAACCATCCTAAAAACCCTGGGGCTCTACGTTCCGGGTCCGGCATGTAAAACCGCAACTTCCCCAGAGGGAAGGGAGCCAGCCCCGGCAGGACCCGCCACACAAGGGCTACAGACTGTACACGAGCCACCCGCTCCCACCCTCTTCCCAGTTGGGGTCGTCCTGCTCCAAGCAAGGAGCTAAAAAGTCGCTTTGAGGGACGCCTGAGGACGACCTACCGGTCTATTTCCTGGATCCAGTTTTTTTGCAACCACCTTTCCTTTTTCCTCCCGGCGTGGTCAGCAATAACTTTGGATCTCTGGGTCCTCAGTAGGGTGGCGCACAGCTACACCCTCCCAGTTTATTTCCACACACGCCCACGCACACCCTCCCCATCTTTTTCACAAGAGTCTTCTCGAGCAGGAGGTTCAGGGGCTCTTCTGATCCCAAAGGCCAAGGGTGGTCTGTGTCCTTTCCTGGACCTGTGAGACCTGAACAGATACCTAAGGAAGCTAAAGTTTTGCATGGTCTCCCTGGCCTCCATTATCCCCTCGCTGGATCCAGGAGACTGGTATGCCGCCCTCGACCTGAAAGACACACGCTTTCACGTAGCGATTTTCCCAGGACACGCACGCTTTCTCCGTTTTACGGTTGGTTCGGCCCACTACCAGTTTGTGGTTCTTCCGTTTGGCCTGACTACAGCATCAAGGGTGTTTACCAGGTGCATGGCGGTAGTCGCGGCCTACCTCAGGCGTCGGGATATCCAAGTTTACCTGTACCTCAACGACTGGCTGGCCTAAGGCAGCTACAAGGCTCAGGTCTAACGCGACATCACTATGCTTACAAGCCACGTGCCGCTCCTTGGGACTACTGGTCAACCACAAAAAGTCCACGTTAGTTCCTGCTCAAAGGATAGAATTCATCGGGGCCATGACTGACTTGACCCTGGCGAGAGCGCTCCTGCCGTTAGACAGGTTTCAGGCCCTGATGGACCTTATCATGAAAGTATCCACATTTCCCCTGACAACGGCCAGGGTGTGTCTGCACCTGCTAGGCCGCATGGCAGCTTGCACATACGTGGTCCGCCATGCCAGGCTCTGCATGCGGCCCCTGCAGCAATGGCTGGCGTCAACCTATTCCCAATCCAGGGACCACCTGGAAAAGATTGTAACCATTCCTCCAGCGGTTCTCACCTTGCTGCAGTAGTGGACTGATCACAAGAAGGTCCTGGAAGTAGTCCCACTTCATCTGTTGAGCTAGTGTTGGACGCTTCGAGGTGTGCCCCCCAAATGAGGTCCGGACATCTCCAGACCCAGGGGACGTGGACTCCAGAGGAGACAATGTTACACATAAATGTCAAGAAGCTCAGAGCGTTCTGCTAGCCTGTTGGGGCTTCCTGTTGCACCTGTCGGGAAAAGTGGTGAGAGTCCTTATGGACAATATGGCCTTGATGATCTACATCAACAGGCAAGGAGGAGCGTGCCTGTCAGCTCTCTGACAAGAGGCTCTCCATCTCTGGGACTTCTGCATCAGCCACGGCATCCATCTGGAAGCTGGTCACCTCCTAAGCATCAGGAATGCCCTAGCAGATCACCTCAGCAGGGACTTCTCCTCTCACCATGAGTGATCGCGCCACCCGTGGCCTGCACAATCTTCCAGAGGTGGGGAACTCTCTGTTTCACCTGCTAGCAAACAGATCTACTTGGAAAGTGCCATCGGTATTGTTCCCGGCAGGGCCTGAGCAAGGGCTCCCTCTCTGATGCCTTCCTCCTGTCGTGAGCCGAGGGTCTGATGTACACGTTCCCTCCGATTCCTCTGGTCAGCTGGGTCTTAGTAAAGGATGAAGAGAGACAAGGCACAGGTTATCATGATCACCCCTGCATGGCCTCGCCAGCACTGGTTTGGCACGCTCATGAACATGGCAGTGGTCCCTTCTCTGGCCCCTTCCCTACCATCAGGATCTGCTGTTACAGGATCACGGTCGGCTCCTACACCCCAACCTCGAGTCTCTACACCTCTTGGTGTGGACGCTCCGTGGTTGAACCCAGAGGAACATACCTGCTCGGAGGAGATCCAGTAGGTCTTCCTCCGAAGTAGGAAACCATCCATGAGATTAACTTACTTGGCCAAGTGGACGAGGTTTTCCCGCTGGATGTTGGAGCGTGGCATTTCTTCCTCGCGTTCCTCAGTGCAGTCCATCTTGGACTACTTACTGCATCTCAGGACCCAGGGTCTGGTGCATTTTCCATTAGAGTGCACCTTGCAGCCATCTCTGTGTTCCACCAGCTGATCCAAGTTCAGATAGTCTTTTCTCATGACATGACTGTCAGGTTCCTGAGGGGCCTTGAGAGGATTTACCCACAGGTATGGGCCCCTCTCCTGCAGTGGGACCTTTAATCTGGTCCTCTCAAGGCTCACCGGCCTGCCTTTCGAGCCGCTGGGCTCCTGCTCCCTTTCCTACTTATCCTGGAATGTCGCTTTCCTGCTGGTGGTGACATCAGCGAGATGAGTCTCAGAGATTAAGGCCTTGACTTTGGAACCACCTTATACAGTAAAAAGAACAGGAGTACTTGTGGCATATATATCCGAAGAAGTGGGCTGTAGTCCACGAAAGCTTATGCTCTAATAAATGTGTTAGTCTCTAAGGTGCCACAAGTACTCCTGTTCTTTTTGCGGATACAGACTAACACGGCTGCTACTCTGAAACCTTATACAGTGTTTTATAAGGACACAGTCCAGCTGCGGCCTCACCCAGCCTTCCTACCGAAGGTGGTATCTTCCTTCCATGTGAGCCAGGACATGTTTCTGCCTGTGTTCTGTCCCAAGCCGCACAAGACTGCTGAGGAGAGGCGTCTGCATCCGCTGGACGTCCGGAGGGCCTTGTCCTTTTACCTGGAGCGTACCAAGCCTTTCCGTAAATGGACCGATCTCTTCATCGCTACAGCGGTTAGGATAAAGGGCCTTCCAGTTTCTTCGCAGAGGATTTCCTACTGGATCACCTCTTGCCTAAAGACCTGTTACGAGCTAGCAAAGGTCCCGCCGCTGCTGATTGTCAGGGCCCATTCGACTAGAGCACAGGCATCTTCGGCGGCCTTCCTGGTGCACATCCCGATCCAGGACATCTGTAAAGCCACGACCTGGTCCTCAGTCCACACATTCACGTCTCATTATACCATCACTCAGCAGGACAGAGACTACACTGGGTTCAGCAGAGTTGTATTACAATCTGCGCAGCTGTGCACTCCTACCCACCTCCATGGGAACTGCTGGGAGTCACCTAACGTGGAATGGACATGAGCAAGCACTCAAAGAAAAAAAGACAGTTACCTTTTCTGTAACTGGTGTCCTTCGAGATGTGTTGCTCATGTCCGTTCCACGACCCGCCCTCCTTCCCCAGTTTCAGAGTGTCTGGCAAAAAGGAATTGAGGGTGGGGGAAGCCAGTGGCGCCCCTTATATCGCGCCATGCGGGTGCCACTTCAGAGGGCACCAGAGCTGCTCCCCTACAGATACTGCTGAGGGAAAAACTTCCAGCACCAGTGCATGTGGCGAGCACATGCACCTAATGTGGAATGGACATGAGCAACACATCTCAAAGAACACCAGTAACAGTCTTTTTTGTAATGTCCCTCTAATTTAAAAATGGGCCATAATGTGGCATCCCAGGTCTAGAACTGGCAAAAGCAGTTTGGTCAGGCAGGATATTCCTAAAGATCCTTCATGAGTCTCAGAAGGGGCTCTTCGTTCACAATTGTAGGAAGTGCTACCATTTTGCATATTTTTAAGTGCATAAATTCTATTCCCATGCACAAACAGCATGGGAATTGCAGTTCTCAACAGGTGCTAAGTCACTGCTTTGTGATTGTGTTCAAAACATCTGATTCCAATCTTCTATCTTCTATGGAGATTCTGTACTATTGTCCTGTTAAATGTGTTTGATAGAATATCTGTAGAAGTGAGCTTCCTGATCCATGACAAACTGTGGTGCAAATATTTCTTAACACACAGGAAAACAAATACAGACACATACCGTGATAGCATTAGGGGCCTCATGCTTATTTTACTTGCTGTAACTTACTCATGTAGAACTAGTGACATATACAACACAACACTCTTCTCTTCTTGTCTTAGCCCAAGGAGACAGTGGTATCTCGTTGGCGTGCTGACCCTTGGGCCCGGGGGTCCTATTCTTATGTAGCGGCTGGATCGTCTGGAAATGATTATGACTTGATGGCTCAGCCAATTACTCCAGGACCAGCCATTCCAGGTGCTCCCCAGGTGAGAGAATCTACAAATGCAATTATAAATGACTGGCATGAGAACTTAATAGGATTTCAAAAGCCATTTGTGAAACAGGAGCATTTGGTAATTCATCCATTCCTCAGATACTCTTATGATTAGAACTGGTCTGAAAACAGAATTTTCTCTGGAAAATCCAACATTTCGAAATTTATTTTTGTTCTAAATTGGAAAAAGAAGTAAAAATTTTGAAACTCCTGAACAGAAATTCAAAAAAGTCTATTTGGAAACATGGAGATATTTCATTTTGATTATGTCAAAGCATTATAATAAAATATATAATAATAAACATATTCTAATGTACAATATTACATTGTGATACAGGAGGGCCAGGGAGCAGTGGGAGAGTGGTAGAGGGGAAGTATATAAGCCCTAGGCTAATTAAGGTGTGGTTCCCTGAAGACTGGGGAGGGTTTCTACAGCACCTGTAGTCAATTAAGGCCTTGTTAGCAACCTAATAAAACGCCCTGCTTCAGGCAGTCAGGAGAGAGAACTGGAGCTTGGAGGTGTACTGTGAGACTTGGAAGATCAGAAAACCGGAGTAAGGGAAACCCTGCCCCAGCAGGGGAGGGAGATTTCCTCTCCCAGCATCTAAGGGCTGAAGGTACCTCACCCAAGGGGGAAGAGAGTAAGGACCCACAGAGGTTGAGAGGGGCTGGGACTCAGAGTGAGGAGCAAACCCAGACCCCTACCCTGCTTCCCTCCTTTACCACCTTCCCGGGCCACTAGTGGGGCCCTCGGTGCCCCAAGAGGAGGGGCAAGAGGTGGCATCTTATCCCCCACCCCCCGCCCAAGAAAAGCGCAGGACCCACCATACTACATCGGCCATCTTGTCACACGTGGTGTCAGGAGTGGGATTTCTGCACCATGAACATAATCCAGAGTGGGTCACAACCACCCTGCCTCAAGATGGAGGATCTGGTCAAAGCACTGGTGCAAGCCACTGCCGCCCAGCAGAAGTGCCCAGGTCCAGGCAAGTGCCCAACAGGAGGCCCTGCAGCAAGAGACCAATCACCTGCTGATGACCCAGGCCACCCAAGATCGGGCCATGCTGCAGGAACTAGTGAACCAAGTGAAGGCCCTTATGGAGCTGAGCTGCAGGTATGATGGGACACATTCCCTACGGGCCAGCTACTGTCTGCAGAAAATGACCAGGGAGGATGATGTGGAGGCGTATCTCCTGGCCTTTGAGAGGACAGCCCTGAGGGAGGCCTGGCCCCGAGACCAGTGGTCAGGTATCCTTGCCCCATTTTTGTGCGGGGAGCCCCAGAAGGCCTACTATGATATGACCACAGAGGAGGCAGCAGCTTACCCCCGACTGAAGGCGGAGATCCTAGCCAGGGCAGGGGTAACGACGGCCTTGCGAGCTTGAAGGTTCTATGAATGGCAGTACTGTGAAGACAAGACACCGCGATCACAACTATTTGACCTAATCCACCTAGCCCGGAAGTGATTACACCCACAGGCTCTCAATTCAGAGAAAATGATGGAGCTTCTGGTGCTGGACCACTATACAAGGGGACTACCTGCGGGCCTCCAAGCCTGGGTAGGCCAGAATGATCCCTCCACCTATGACGAACTAGTCACCTTGTAGAGAGACAACTGGCAGCCCGTGAACTGTTCGAAACCCCATGAGGTGAAACACGGCGTTTCAGGAAGCCAGTCCCTACCCCAAGGATGATCGAGAACTCCAGGAAAGCCATAGCTGGGAGAACAGGCACCAAGGAGCGGCCTGAGGCCCCAAAGGGACCTAGGGGTCCGGGGGGAGAGGGTTGGGGAAGCGAGTCAGAGGGCCCAAGACACAGGGCAACCTCCGGAATGAGATATCGCTGTTGTGAGTGTGGGGAGTTGGGGCATATAGCAGCCCAGTGCCCCAATAGGGAGGAGCCCATGCAATGTAATCTGGGGGATCCCGGGGACCAATGTGGCCTAATCAGCCTGGTGGGGGTTGCGATGGCCCAATATGAGTACACCAGGCCAGTAAAGATGAATGGCATCCGGACCATAGCTTTGGTGGACTCTGGGAGTGCTGTCACATTGGTCTCAGGGAAGTTAGTGGGGCAAGACCAACTGAGTGGACTGGAGTGACCTATGTCCATGGCACAGTAAATTTCTACCCCACAATTCCAATACGGATTGAGATCCAGGGAAATACTACCAAGATGACTGCGGGGGTGGTCCCCAAGCTCCCCTACCCAGTCTTAATCGGCAGGGACTTTCCTGGGTTTGAGAGCCTACTCTGTCCCCCTCCTCCCCCCCAATTGAGTTAGGGGAGGGAAGTAAACCCCGAGCAGAATGTGAGGTACCCATGGATGACTCTACCACAATTTTTGCTGGGTTTTCCCCCAGAGTTATTTTCACCCCCTGGGAAGTTCCGGAAATCCAGACGGGAAAGGAGGGCAGACAAAAGATTAAGAACCAGGATCTTGGCGGCAAACCAGAGAACTGCCCTGGTTGGGAGGGGGCTCCGTGGAGACCCAGAGACGGCCCCCAGCATGAGCGGAAGCACCCCAAAAGAAGGAGGGGAGCCCAAGTCAATAGAATCAGGCCAGATTGGTCCCGCACGTGAATGTTTTGGGCAGGACCAAGCCGATAATCCACTGTATGCGAATGTGAGGGAGGAGGTAGTAGAGGTAAATGGCGTGCCAGTAGAAGGGTAAACCAAAGGCACGGGGCCATACTACATAATCAAGCAGGATCTGTTGTACCGGGTAGTGCCAATATGGGGAGAAGTAGTAGAACAGCTCTTGGTGCCACAGAAGCACACAAGGGCTGTATTAGTGTTAGCTCACAGTCATCTGTTTGGGGGACATTTAGGAGCAGACAAGACCCTGAATAGAGTCCTAAGAAGGTTCTACTGGCCAGGGGTACGGGCAGAAGTCCAACGCTATTGCACCTCCTGCCCAGAGTGCCAGCTGCATAGTCCCGGACCTCAGTTAAGGGCCCCGTTGATACCCTTGCCCATAATTGAAGTTCCTTTTGAAAAGATAGCAATGGATCTAGTAGGCCCGCTAGAAAGAACGACCAGGGCCACTGAAGCATACTTGTCATCCTGAACTACGCTACACGGTACCCTGAAGTCATTCCTTTAAGAAACCCCATATCCAAGGCAATTGCAAAAGAACTGGTGCAGGTTTTTGCTAGGGTAGGCATCCCTAAGGAGATCCTGACAGATCAAGGGACTCCCTTCATGTCGAGCGTAATGAAAGACTTATGTATCCTGCTCCGCATCCAAGCCTTGCGGACCTCGGTCTATCATCCCCAAACAGATGGTCTGGTTGAACGATTTAACCGCACTCTCAAGAGTATGATCCGAAAGGTGGTGGCCTAAGATGGAAAAGACTGGGATACCATCCTACCATACCTGATGTTTGCAATACGAGAAGTTCCCCAAGCATCTACTGGTTTCTCCCCCTTCGAGCTACTGTATGGACGCCACCCACATGACATATTAGACATTGCGAAGGAGGAATGGGAGGAGCAACCCAACCCAGGGAAGAATATCATTGCACATGTAGCCCAGATGAGAGAACGAATAGCCCAAGTGATCCCCGTAGTACGAGAGCATTTGGAGAAAGCACAAGAGACGCAACGAACCTACTACAATCGTCAGGCAAAAACACGGAAATTTCAACCAGGAGAACGGGTGTTGGTGCTGGTACCAACAGCAGAAAGTAAGCTCCTGGCCAGTTGGTGTGGACCCTGTGAGATCGTGGAAGCCGTTGGGGAGGTGAATTATAAGGTAAAGCAGCCAGACCGATGAAGGCCAGAGCAGATCTATCATGTCAGCTTACTGAAACACTGGCGCGATCGGGAAACGTGCCTGGCCGTCCTGCCAGCTCCACTCCAGGCAGATGGCCCACAAGGGTAGGTAAGGATATCCCCCGAATTAGCCCCAGAACAACAAACAGAGGTCGTCAAAATGATCCAGCGGAACCAAGATGTGTTCTCCACACAACCAGGCCGTACAACGTTGATCCAACACCATATCGTCACCTGTCCCGGAGCAAGGGTGACAATAAAACCATATCACATCCCGGAGGCAAAAAGAGAAGAAATTAGGGCAAAAGTAAGGAAGATGCTAGAACTTGGGGTTATTGAGGAATCCCACAGCCAGTGGTCCAGCCCTATTGTTTTGGTCCCCAAGCCTGGTGACACCTTGAGGTTTTGTAATGACTTTCAGAAGTTAAATGAGATATCCCAATTCGATGCCTGCCCAATACCACATGTTGATGAGTTGGTGGATCAGTTAGGCAAGGCCCGATACTTGACCACCTTGGACTTGACAAAAGGCTACTGGCAGATTCCCCTGGCTGAGGATGCCAAGGAAAAAAACGCTATCTCTACACCTGACGGCCTCTTCCAATATACCGTCCTCCCTTTTGGGCTCCATGGGGCCCCTGCAACTTTCCAGCGATTGATGGACAGATTACTTCGACCCCATGCCAAGTATGCTTCTGCCTATTTAGATGATGTGGTAATCCATAGTCCTGACTGGGAGACGCACCTGGAGGAAGTGGAAGCGGTACTAGGTACTCTTAAACAGGCTGGCCTCACCACTAACCCATCCAAATGTGCAATAGGGCTAGCCGAGGCCAGATACCTCGGGTATGTAGTCGGAAGGGGCCTGGTGAAGCCCCAGTGGAACAAAGTGGAGGCAATACAGAAATGGCCCCACCCGATTCGCAAGAAACAAGTCAGAGCATTCTTAGGGATAGTAGGGTACTATCGACGGTTCATCCCTCGCTTCGCCACAAGGGCAGCGCCTCTGACGAACCTGATAAGAGCTTGGGGCCCAGAGATAGTTAAGTGGACCGAGGAAGCAGAAGAAGCTTTCACAGACCTAAGGACGTCCCTTTGCAGCCATGCAATGCTCATAGCCCCAGATTTCACAAAGGAATTCATCCTACAAACAGATGCCTCAGAGGTAGGACTTGGGGCCGTCCTTTCACAGATGGTGGGGAATGAGGAGCACCCAATCCTTTACCTCAGCCGAAAGCTCCTGCCCAGGGAGCAACAGTACGCCGTAGTAGAAAAGGAATGCCTAGCGATTAAATGGGCCATGGAGGTTTTACGGTACTACCTACTTTGACGGCGGATCACCCTTGTGACAGACCACGCCCTACTCCAGTGGATGCACACAAATAAGGAGAGGAATGCATGAGTGACTAGATGGTTCCTGTCCCTACAACCTTTTCACTTCCGGATCCAGCATAGAGCCAGAAGTCAACATAGCAACGTGGACAGCCTATCACGACAACACTGTCTCTCGTCCCAAGTAGCCCAACCCCATGGTGTTGAGCAGGGCGGGGAGGATATGTGATACAGGAGGGCCACGGAGCAGTGGGAGAGGGGAAGTATATAAGACCTAGGCTAATTAAGGTGTGGTTCCCTGAAGACTAGGGACGGTTGCTACAGGTTAATTGGAGCACCTGTAGTCAATTAAGGCCCTGTTAGCAACCTAATAAAACCCCCTGCTTCAGGCAGTCAGGGGAGGAGGAGGAAGGAGAGAGGACTGGAGCTTGGAGGTGTGCTGTGAGACTTGGAAGATCAGAAAACCAGAGTAAGGGAGACCCTGCCCCAGCAGGGGAGGGAAACTCCCTCCCCCAGCATCTAAGGACTGAAGGTACCTCACCCAAGGGGGAAGAGAGTAAGGACCCGCAGAGGTTGAGAGGGGCTGGGACTCAGAGTGAGGAGCAAACCCAGACCCCTACCCTGCTTCCCTCCTTTACCACCTTCACTAGTGGGGCCCTCGGTGCCCCAAGAGCAGGGGTAAGGGGTGGCATCTTAGCCCCACCACCACCAAGAAAAGCAGGACCCACCATACTACATCGGCCATCTTGTCACAAAATAAAAAGGTAGAAAGAACATTTTACCTTATTGAAACGAGAAAGATGAAATTATTTGTTTTCACACTTTTCCATTGAAACTTTCATCAAAATAGAAAAGTTTTGAGTTCGAAGCTGTTTTCTCCACCTGAAAACTCTTCCATCAAAATTTTTTTGACCAGCTCTACTAATGAACCTTCCTCTTGTGCTGTTAGTTCTTGCAGTAAAATGTTTCAGCTGCCTGATGGCAGTGAATGTGCTTAGCTCTTAGTCCAATCCTCCCATTCAAGAAGTAAAAGTAAGAATTTGGCTCATCTTATTCCATGAAAAAAGCCGAGAGGTAGATGATGCTATAACAGAGGTTCTGGAAATGAGCATAAATCGGTCTAGTACATCCTCTGCCTGTCAGGAAGCATGTACAGAAATAAGTGTCATTCACAAAGTGTCTTCCCAGCCCCCAAGTTGCTTGAGGCACATTACAAAGATTCCCAACAAAAATATCAATTCAGCTCCACCTTCGCCATGATGCAGCAAGGGGCCACCCTGTAACATGTATCCACATCGTGTAGTGGGGGAAGGAATAGGTTGTAATAAGTTACAAGAAATGCCTCCGAAGAATCATTTTAAAACATTTTCAAGGTGAGGAGTGATGGGATAATGTAGAAGGGATTCGGGAAGTGTCCATACCTTAGGAGCCACAGTGAAAGTCCTGTCTCCTGCTAACCTATTGAGCAAATGGTGGAATCCCTAAAAGCAGGGGGCTTCTGAACACCTCATGGTGAGGCACCAGCACCAGGGTCTTATTTAGTCTCTCTAAATACTGTTATGGTGGTTAAATCCATTAGTTTAGCCCCTGATATGTTGCTGGATAGTCTGCACCACAGACTGTAATGTACAAACCGTTAATTGTCTCAGGTTTTTCCTCTCTGCCTTTATTCAGACCACAGTATGTCAGTGTTCACTAGTGAACTTTTAGTGCGCAGCAGCAGCAGGGTCAATGGAGATGCTTAGTGTGTGGCATGCTGAAACGCTGTAGATTTACACCCCAGCTCGATGTGCAATAAGTGTTCGTGTAGACAGGCCTTTAATCAGGTGTGGTGGTGTGGAAATGATCAAACATGTAATGTTGAATGCACAACATTCTGTGTTCTCTCTCAGTGAAATTTCTGGCTTCAAAACCGAACTCTATAATAATCTTTCTTTTTGCTCTAATGCCCAGCTCCCTCGACAGCTAGCAGTAAAGTGTTCCCTTGCAACACAGTACATGTCTTTTTAAAGCTGAAAATTTGTGATAGTTGGGAGGCAGATGAGGATTCTCCTCTGGTCAAGGGGCATTTGTTGAAGGAAAGATTATAACATTCCCTGAGATTACCTAGTTCATACCTAAACCAGCTTCGTGCAGCAGAAGTAACTCTGTGACTAGGAGAAATGTTTATTTTTAAGTAGTTCGCCTGAGAAATCTAGTGTTTGAGAGCGAGAACCTGAGCTAAGTCAGCTATATGACACTTAACAATGTGCTGTTTGTTCTTCTTCCCAGCCAATTCCTCGCCTCTTCTTCGCAGGAGAACACACAATTCGTAATTACCCAGCAACGGTCCATGGTGCTCTACTGAGTGGGCTGAGAGAAGCAGGGCGTATTGCAGACCAGTTTCTTGGGGCCATGTACACTCTGCCACGCCAAGCTACACCTGGTGTGCCCACACCACAGGCCCCTAGCATGTAAGGGAGATGCAAGCTGCCCGACAGAGGAGTGATGGATTCATAATGCATTTGCTGTGGACTTGTTTTTGGGAGCAAGATATCTTCGTAGTCTGTAGCAGTAGCCACTGAAAGCACTGTGCCAGAAGTCACTTAATAGTCACCCCATTGGAATGGCCTTTATGAAATATGATCTGACTATTGCCCATGCACCTGGTATACAGATCCCTGTCTGTCTGTTTTTCCAAGTGTATATACAGTCTCTTACTGCCAAACTGGTCAGGAATTCCTATGGCAGTGCAAATACATTGGGAATCCAAGCTCCTGGTGTTTAGTTGGATTTCTTTTGGCACATAAAGAACCTACTGGCGTGTTCACAGTTCAGTAATTGCACAAAAGGTTTCAGACTCTAATAGCTGGTTGTTGTTGGTAACAGTGTAGAATTCGTCTCTTATGTGGATTTTTTGATTGTTTGTTTTTGAAAAAAATAAAGTTTTCACCATGTTCCTCTCTTCCTCTTTCATTTGAGAATTAAATTGGTGCAGTTGTTTTTCCTCAGTAGTAAAAGCAGAGTTACAAGTAATGCTCATCGCAGAACCACTCCAAAATAGTCCTTAAGCCACTGCAATGTCATCTCTCACTTGGGATAAATAGTCTTTGAATCAGGGGACTGAAAGCCAAGTGGGTGCCCTAACCACCAGGCTACAGCATTATTCATTCTCTCCCCCTTCGCACACCCGCCCCCATCCCCATAACTGTTTAAGTATTTATACAAAATGGAACAGCTTCAACAGGAGAGACTGAGGGAGCCCCACAACAGAATATCCCATAGCTCAATGGTCAGAGAGGGAATGTGGTGAAAAATTGAATTCTGGTCTCCCACATCCCAGATATATTCTCTAGCCACTGGGCTAAAAGTTGTCAGAGAGAATGCAGCAGCGGCTCCTTCTTCTCCCGCATTTCTTGCAAGAATGGCTGACCTCAGGAGAGGGGTTCCCAGCTGTGAATTGCTACCATTGAGACGTGCCTCCTTCAACCTGGATTTAGATGCCTAACCGCCTGAGGGGGTGGGGCTTAGGACACATTCCTCTCCTCAGCCTCTCCTTTGGCTATCTTAGGCAGCTCCCCATCTAGCATACAGTCTTTTGTGGATCCCTTTCCTAGATGTCTGTCTCTCCCTGTTCATTGTATAGGGAGCCTGGGCACCTAAGCTGGCTTTGTGGGTCCCATTGTCATTCCAGTCTAGGCATCTAAGTTCCTTTTGTGTATCTGAGCCTCAGTTCTCTAACAGAATTACTGCCATTCTTCAGTCTAAGACAAAGTATTAGCAATTCTGGTCCCTTTCAACTGCAAAAAGAGAGCTGCAGGCTCAGGTGAGTCAGGTTGCTTAATGTGAAGAGCTAGACACAGGAAACATGAGAGAGAAATTTTTAAGTAATAAAACCTGAGGCAAGAAATCTGTTATACAGTCTTCTGCGTGGTGGCCTTGGTCTCCTGAGTATCAGTCACATGCACACCTAACTTTGGGTTTTCGGTAACTTTTAAGCGCACTTTCAGATGTTGAGTTTCTTGAGTTCTTCAATTACAAACGAAATGAGAATGTACACTCTTCAGCGCAGGGTCATCATCTTTTTGGCTAGCATGACTCATAGAATATCAGGGTTGGAAGGGACCTCAGGAGGTCATCTAGTCCAACCCCCTGCTCAAAGCAGGACCAATCCCCAACTAAATCATCCCAGCCAGGGCTTTGTCAAGCCTGACCTTAAAAACCTCCAAGGAAGGAGATTCCACCACCTCCCTAGGTAACCCATTCCAGTGCTTCACTGCCCTCCTAGTGAAAAAGTTTTTCCTAATATCCAACCTAAACCTCCCCCACTGCAACTTGAGACCATTACTCCTTGTTCTGTCATCTGCTACCACTGAGAACAGTCTAGATCCATCCTCTTTGGAACCCCCTTTCAGGTAGTTGAAAGCAGCTATCAAATCTCCCCTCATTCTTCTCTTCTGCAAACTAAACAATCCCAGTTCCCTCAGCCTCTCCTCGTAAGTCATGTGCTCCAGCCCCCTAATCATTTTTGTTGGCCTCTGCTGGATTCTTTCCAATTTTTCCACATCCTTCTTTTAGTGTGGAGCTCAAAACTGGACACAGTACTCCAGATGAGGCCTCACCAATGTCCAATAGAGGGGAATGATCATGTCCCTCGATCTGCAGGCAATGCCCCTACTTATACAGCCCAAAATGCCTTTAGCCTTCTTGGCAACAAGGGCACACTGCTGACTCATATCCAGCTTCTCATCCACTGTAACCCCTAGGTCCTTTTTTGCAGAACTGCTTCTTAGCCATTCAGTCCCTAGTCATTAACATGCTCTAGGGCAGTGTTAATGAGTTTTAGAAGCCAGGAAGATGTTGGCTGTTGCTCTCTCTACTTCTCTATCTACATTTCTGGACTCTGTTTTTTGCAGTAGGGTAACTTTAACAAAAATTAAATTGCTAAATAAATGTGACCATTTGGTAAAAGTTACTGTTGTTTCTCTGCAGAGCTGTTTGATAGTAATCTCACGTCTGCGTAATGTGTAAAGCCTGCCAGATGTCTTTCTTGGAGCCATACAGCGTGCTGCTGCCAGGCGTTTTCATGCTAGTGTAGAGAAGTGCTGCAGCAATCAGTGCACTCTGCAGAAAAGAACATTCGGTTCTTATTTAAATGCCCTCAGCCGATTTATTATATAACCATTAGGAATGAAGGAATCATTTTAGAATTGCAGACATGATGAACACAGATACTGAACTACTCCATTTGTCTTCACCTAGTGTCCTACTTCTTTGTCAGATGTGAGCATTCCTAACAGGGGGGATGCTCTGAGTTGCACTAGCTGGCTGTGGCCCTAGGGATCCATATCGCAGCGGGAGTAGCGAGAGTGCAATGTTTTCCACTAGCCCACCCTATCCTGCTTGTGTCTGCACTGGGAGCTCCATGGAGGAAAGGTAGCAGCTGCCTGCTGCAGACTCCTCCACAGTGAGGACTGGAGGGATCTGTGCACTCCCTGAGTGGGGCAAGAATCAGAATCAGTCTTTCTCATCTTTTTCTCTCGTGTTAATCCTATCAAACAGGGTCTGCTCTACAAGTCCTCTCCCTCCAAAGTGCTCTGTTCAGTTTTATATTACACTGCTCTACAGCCAAAATGCTTCTGAAATAAATGTAGTCAAACTTTACTAATTCTGGGTCACTGAGAACGAAAATGATGCTTAAAATTGTTGATTGGCTCTAGTTTTCAAAATATGCTATTGGGTCAGTATATACGACCCTTGACTTGGGAATGGCCGAGGATAAGTGAGTTATACAGGGAAGGGATCTCAATTTAAACCAGAAATGACTAAAATACATCTTTAACTGGATCTATGAATAAATCTATGACTGGGTTTGGACAAAAACAACAAGGAGTCTGGTGGCACCTTAAAGGGTTTGGACAGTACTTGCTTTTTAGGCAAAACAATGAATGATGCAATCTGAAGCTGGTATTGCGTCATACATGATATGAATTGCATCATGTTATTCCTAGAAGTCATGGATGATGCAATCATAATGAAGCTTACATCACTCTGCTGAACAAATTTCCCTAAATCAGCTCTAGAAATCCTTCAGTGTTGTACTCTCTTATTTGTCAGTGGCTGATTTTGCAAAGGGACACATTTCTGTTAG